CATATACAATTTTGCTGCTATCTTTTCGCCTTTCATCACCATAAGCGCTCCACGGAACACCTTCATGATTCATTTCCGTGTTTCAATCTTGCTTCCATTATTATCAAACAATTCACAGGATAATAAATTTTTCTTCAGACCTTTCACATGCCGCACATCTCGAACAACTTTAATTGTTCCATCATACATCTTTAATTTGATGGTTCCCACTCCAACGATCTCTAAGGCATGATCATTGTAACTATACACATATCCCATTGAGACAGGTTCATAATGATGGAACCATTCTCTTCTTGAGGTCATGTGATATGTTGCTCTCGAATCAATGAGTCATATATCTGCAATTGTTTTCTACCTTCCACGGTTGTTGACGCTTCACAACATAGAGCATCTCAATCATCTGAAGTGTTTGTGGTATTGTCTTGTGGATTGGAGTTTCTATTTAGACTCCAAAAATCCTTCTTCAAGTGACCATTCTTTCCACAGTTGTAGCACTTTAAATTCTTTTTGCTTCTCGACTTTGATCTACCATGTTTGTGACTGTTGCTTTGGCCACGTTCTGTTGATCTCTCTCTCATCGTTGTTAACGCTTCTGCTTATTGCAGATTTACTTGTATGTCTTCCTTGTTCTTGTGCCAATTTTCTTCTTGTAGAACATCAGCTGCAACATCATCAAAGGCTAGACTGGTGACATTACTGTTTGTCAAGTTGATGATGAGTTGATCATACGAATCAGGTAGACTTTGAAGTAGAAGTTCAGCACGTTCTTGTTCTCTTATTGTACAGCTTAAGGATGTAAGATGAGAAAATAAAGTGTTCAGTGTCACTGAAGTAGATTCTGACATTCGTAGAGTGTACAATTTCTTAAGGAAAATTTTATTGTGCAACGATGTGGCCTCGTACAATTTGGTGAGATGATCTCATATCTTCTTAGTTGTCTTCTTCTCCTCGATGCTTGACAATACTTTATCTGCTAATGCTAGATGAAAGTTTGCCATAGCATTCTCATCTATCTCGTTCCATTGCTTTCATCTGTGAAATCTATTGGCCTTTCACTGATAACTGCTAAACAACCGTATTTCCTCAGGATGACCTTCATCTTCAATTTCCACAATAAGAAATTTTCCCATTGAACTTTTCAGTATCAAATTTCGTTGTCATAGCTTTTATTACGGATAACTCTCACTATTTCACTATCGTGAATAGTTCACTGGAATCTTCAAAGAATAGGTAATACCTTCTTACTTTCTTATGTTGGAGCATCCACCTTTTGGTGGCAACCACAAAAATAATAAAGTAGACATTGCACACTCTAATCTAGCTCTAATACCAATTGTTGCGGAATACGACTATTGGATAGAGCGAAATCGCAATTGATAATTTGAGAAAATAAAAATGAAGATAAAGATGACACAAATTTTACGTGAAAAAACCCTTAAATAATATAGGGTGATAAACCACGGGCAATGGTAGAAGAATTTCACTATGAGAAAATATGAATTACAACTTCTCTCGATCTACCAAGGAGAAAACAATGACAATTCTCACTTGATAAAAAAAGAGAAAACAACTCTCTAAATTCTCTAGTATTGGGAGAAAGCTAAAATGATTTGGGATGGTTTTGAAGTTAAATGGGTTAGGGTATTTATAGTTGAAGCTTAAAGACTAATCTTGTAAATATCATAAAGTGCAAGGACTAAATTTTACAATTTTCTAATTTTATTTTTCAAACAACTTTGCAGCCAACTTTAAATTAAATCAAAGCAGCCGGCTGCCATCTAGAATAAATTAGCCACCCCATGCTATTTTATTTTTGACTTTCTACAAAATTTTCAATACTCAAATCATAATTATTCTTAAAGCCTAATACTCTTGTCTATCACCACCACCATCACTGAATGTTCACCCACTCATCGTTAAACTTCCGCTAACGGACATTCATTTTATCATCTTCTTAATCTTTTAAATCCTTAAACTTAAATCTTTAGATCTTCGTATAATCAAATTCCTAATCCAAAAGTTTATTACTATCGTTAGTTTTTACCATCGCCGTTAAACGTCTCTCCACCCACCCGTCGTTGGACTTACTGCTCGCTACCTCTTTGTGGTTGTCTAGATTTTCAAATCTCATTGCTTTACTGCTGCAACTAAAAAAATATAATAAGATAATGATAAATCACCGGTTAAATTTGAATCATCTGTTAAATCATATGTATGTTAGTCATGCCATTTTCAGGATATTTGTGTGAACAAGAGCTGTTGTTTTCTTGGTGATTAGTTTCAACTTTTGAAAGATGTCTCAAGACAAATTAAATTCAACTTTGGAAGGTCACGGAACGTTGCATTTAGTTTTTATTGCTCCTCTCCTCGCATTTATATTTACAATGATGAAATATTATCATGTGCTCTTAGGTTATATAAGAAAATTAAAATATACGCAATGTATAATTATAAATTATGTAAAATAAAGGTTAAACTATACAAGTGACCACCTAACTATTGCCTCTTTTTCATTTTGACCAATATTTTTGAACTTTTGTCAACACGTCACTCAACTATTTAAATGCATTCAATTAAACCACTTGCCGTTAATTAATATTTAACAGAGAAGTTGATATGACAGTTAAAATATTTGGTATAATTACACATTTGGTCATTGAATACGTAACTTACGTATTCTATCAATTTGGTCATAATTTTAATAAATTAAAATAAAATTAACTCTCAAATCTTTAATTTTAAAAGATTTTAAAAGTTACGACATATTCTATATTTATAACAAAACAAAATTTTTACTATAAATTTCGTTTATGGTTCTCAGAAGTATCTTGTCAATGGTACTATAACCTCTTTTGATTTTAAGAAAAATATAGTTGATTAGCCCATGCATAGAAAGTTTATTGGACAAAATTTTTATCCTGCTACTATTTGTAAATGGCATTCTACTAGAAAAGGGTGATATAGTCTAACCTGTAAAACTAAGAAATTTTTATCTAGTAAATTTCTAATAGAAAAAAGAGACATATATTTCTTTCGTGTTTGCATAGTCTTCCTTTAAAATTTTAAAAATTCATCTCCTACCATAAAATTTTATGCCCCTTTAATAAAAATTTATACTGATAAGATTCTCGGTGGACTTAGCATGCAAAATTTTGCACTAAGAGATTGCCCTATATCAAAAGGACAATAAATTTAGTTTTCTTTAAATTTAATATCATAAATCATTACTTGAGTTATTCAAATTTTTTAGAAAAAGTTTTTGGTATAAATTTTATTTTGTTATAAATATAGAATATGTATTAACTTTTAAAATAAAAAAGTTAAATTTTGGGTCATTATACATGGCACCATTTGATTTGAAGGTTAAATTTATTTTAATTTATTAAAATTAGGACCAAATTGATATAATATAACAATGACCAAATGTGTAGTTATACCAAATATTTTCACTGCCATGTCAGCTTCTCCATTAAATATCAACGGCAAGTGGCTTAATTAAATGCATTTAAATAGTTGAGTGACCTGATTAACAAAACTTCAAAAATATTGATCAAAATAAAATGGGACAATAGTTAGGTGGTCACTGGTATAGTTTACCATTTATTTTAAATAATTTATCTTTAAATTTGTAACTAATTTATAATTATAAATTGAGTCCTTTAGAATTTAATTTTTATAAATTAAATTAATGGTGCTCATCGTTAGTGATATTCATTGTTGCTTGTCGAACGTAAAAGAATCATCTTATATTTTAATGTATATTTGTAGTTATTTTATATTATATTAAATGTAATTATATGGATAAAATTGGAGCTGGAACTATAGAGTCTAGGCTTAGTGAGAGCGTAGCTACCATCGCAAGTGGATGAAAAAATAAATAAAGAAATCAAAATGTAATTCACAAATACACAAACGTATATACTATTTTAGAAAGAAATAATAACCTCAGTGACCAAAAATGTTTTATAATATACGATTTTAACCAATTTTTTTAGGATTTGCCAAAATGACCAACAAAATCGCAATGCGATCTCAGGTATCGCAAATCAGTTTCCATATTCGCAACGCGAACTTCGACTATCGCATTACGATTTACATATTCGCATTGCGATAGTCTAAGTTTGTGTTGCGATAGTCGAAGTTCGCGTTGCGATTTATTACAAATTCGTTGCGATAGTCTCCAAGTTCGTTGGTTCGTTGCGATAGTCTCCAAATTCGTTGCGATAGTCCAAAATCGCAACGACTAGTGGTATTGCATTTGTTTCTTAAGAATTTTCTCTAAAAAAGATAGTATTCGCGCGGACGTGTCGAAGACACGTATTACCATGACCACGACCACGACCACGACGAAGACACGTATTACCACGACCATGACTACGACCCGACCCGAGACGAACGGCGGTGGCGGCGGCGCGTAAGAGTCCCCCTTGTTCTCTATCACTCAACAAGGAAGGGGGAAAGTCAAGCCTTAAATATCATTCCCAATAGTGTTTCCAATACTATGTGGGATTGAGCATTACCAACACTTGTTCCCTGTAGACACTAATTTTCGTCCATATTTTTTATTATTATTTTATACATATATACCTATATATATTATATGGTTTGCAAACGGTTTTTGAAAAAATATATATATAATATATAATTTTTTAAAAAGAAAACATTTTGAAAATATGGGTAACATATAGTTTTAAAATCATTTTAAAAACTTATATAATATATAGTTTTAAAAACATTTTTGAATAAATTATATAATATATAGTTTTAAAAACATTTTTGAATAAATTATATAATATATAGTTTTAAAAACGTTTTTTAAAACTTATATAATATTTTTAAAACATTTTGAAAACTATATAATATAGTTTTGAAAACTTTTTTTAAATATAATATATAGTTTAAAAAATATTTTTGAAATATATGTATTATATAATTTATATTATATCAGTATTATTATTATTTATTTTCTTCTTATTATTTTCTTTTTATGTTTTTTTCAGGGTCCAAACAGTCCAATAAGTCAGACGGGCCTGATCCAGCCCAGAGGTCAAATTAGGGTTCCAGTATATGTCAGCGCCACACAACAGGGGACCGTTGGATCAACAAAGAGATCAACGGCCAATATAGCAAGGGAATCAGGGTTTGTTTAACCCACAAAGAGCTATCAGCCGCGGCCGATCTTGGACCGTTGGATCTGACCCAATCCAACGGTCAAGATCAAATCAAGGTTACCAGAAGCCTGAACGCCACCACACACCGGTCGCCGAGATTTCCGGCCGAGGGGATCGGGACTGACCCATCCCGAAATCCCCGGCCAACCAACCATGATCCCGAGATCGTCGGGACTCCCAACGGCCGGTGGGGGTTATAAAAAACCCACGACCAACGCAGTACGGGGGAGGGGTTACCAGCCAACTACGAACGAATCCACAGTACCAACACATCAAACACGAGAAAGAACCACAAACGCAAGAACAACAAAACCAAGAACCATTTTCTGGAACGAAACATCATCAAACCAAGATACCAACAGTAAACAAAAGCCATCAACACAAGCAAGCAAAACCCCAAAAATATCACATCAACACAAACGCAAAAGACCCAGCCACACATAAAATATCAAAGAACCAACCACAAAGCCGAAGAACTTGGGTAAACGAAGGGACACCGACGGTTTAAGGGGTCTTTTTCAACTGATCAAAGGTAAGTAATCTGAATCGGTTTTTAAATTTTAATTTAAGTTTCTAATTTCTCGCAATTAAAGACAACCGATAAATTAATTGGTACCGAAAGGGCGGTTCAAGGGTGCTAATCCTTCCTTGACCGTAACCGACTCCCGAGCCCGACACGTTTCTGGTAAAACGCAAATCAGGTAAGATGGTGCCCGGCCCGCCTAAATTCGTTTTAAAATGGTCGGTGGCGACTCCAATTCATTTAACCCAAGTCGAAGCCCAATTCCGGGGCCCAACCGAAAGACGGTTCCGACAGCTTGGCGACTCCGCTGGGGACAGGTAAGTGAGTCAGGCCAGAATTAATTTTCGGTTGTCTTTTTATGCAAAAATTGTAAATTTAAATTTAAATTTATTTATTCGATTCCAATTATTTGCCCTTTGATTATTTTTCCAAGTAAATAGTTGTACTAACATTTTTTCAATGATCTCAGATTTTCGAAAAGTTTCATCTCAGGCTCTATACCCGAGCTCCGAACCCATTTAAGTGGGGGTGAAAGCGACGCATTCGTGTGAATTTATTCACCGCATATGCCTAGCAAGTAGCCTTCGGGATTCATATACCTTATGTCTTCGTGTGAATTTATTCACCGTGCGGGCATAAGGGAATGTGTCCCCTCGAGTTTAACTTAGTCCACACAAGCCTGTGATGGGTTTAGGACTAAGGGTCTGGTAAGCCCAAGGGGGCACCGGCAAGGAGAACTCGAGTACCTTTTAGAACCTAAACCGGGAGAGTACAGGGAATTAGAGCCCACCCCGAAACCTCATTCCAAACCCTAGGCTGTTTTATTTCCTGCTTTATTTTCTGTTCAAAGCATGCGAACTAGACAAACATGCGGCTAGGATTTGTTTGAAATTAGCATGCGGGATAGAAATCATGTCTGTGTAGGAATATTAAGCATGTTCGGGTAGATTATCATGTGGGGTAAGACTTTTCATTTTCATCATTTTTATTATTATCATCATTATCTCACTAACTTTTTTTTTCTCTTCCTCATTTCATTTTTATTCTTTGGCATTTTTTTTATCATTCGCATCATTAAAACGAGGTATTGATCCACAAAAAATGTGTTTGTTAAACATGAATAATTTGTATTAATGGACAAAGGGGTTATAATACAAAGAGATAAAAAGCTCAGAAGTCCAGCCGGGGTCAGAGGATACTCAAAGGCAAAGTTGCAGGGGCAATACGAGGAAAAGGTCACTGACCCGGTCGCTCCTTTTAAAAAAACTACAAGAACAAGATGGTGAAACCCTAACTGAGCGGGATGCCATTACTGATGAATTCAAGAAGCAAGCTTTGGATAGTTTCTCTCGCTCCAATGGCATTTTTAGAAACAAGCTCGGCAGATAGTGAGAGCCGGAGATGCAGTCCTTCGAGACCTTTTGGGGGCAAGCATCTCATTATTTGCACATTTTAGCCAAAGGGGCCGAGATGGTTCGGCAGGATATTCAACTAGTGAAAAAGACGAATCAACTTGTCAGAAGCTGTACAGGATTCGTACCATCAAAAAGAGTTTTTTGTCTCTTCAGACGTAACACTTTTGTCACCAATAAGGGTTATTCAGAATAACAGGCACATTTTTTGGATCAATGCCTCAGACATTTCATGCATCACATATTTAGACATTTTTCATTTCTTATTTTTTGTGCATTTTGTTTGCATTCACATTAACTAATATATACATGTCTCATCAAAAGGAGTAAATACTGGATATACCGCCTCAAGTACTGGACACACCCCATCCACATAACACTCGTTTGAAGAAGAAGAGGATGGAAGCCAGAATTACACAAATCGAGGAGAATATGTTAAAACTACAAAAGGAGCTAGAAGACAAAATAAACCAGAACAGTCGAAATACTCTAGAAACAATCACAAAGAACCAAGAGTCATTGGTTGATCAGATCGTTGCCAAGTTAATTGGCCTACAACAGACCAGTGCGCCTGGGGCAGGTTCATCGGAAGGGGTAACTATACAACCTACCCCACAAGTGGTTATCTCACCTGAAATCTTACCAGAACTTCGAGGGGACTCATCTGCTGCAAAATCAAAGCCCTTGTCCTCTGTATTTAACCCTAAGAACAATCCGGGTTATTACCATGTACCGGATTTGGATGAAGAGGAAAAAGCGAGGAAGATGGAGGAAAAAATCAAACAATTGGAGGACCAAATGAATATAGTCAAAGGAGACCGTGACTACCATGAAATCGATGCAACGGAACTTAGTCTAGTCCCGGACTTGGTTCTTCCCCCGAAATTTAAGTCCCCGGAGTTCGAGAAGTTTGACGGGAATAGTTGCCCATCCGCTCACATCACTATGTTCTGCCGAAAGATGACAGGATATGGAGGAAATGACCAACTCCTGATCCACTGCTTTCAGGATAGTCTGTCGGGCTCAGCCATTCGGTGGTACAACCAGCTAAGCCGATCAAATATCAAGACCTGGAAGGACCTGGCCAAGTCATTTCTGGAACAATACAAGCATAACAATGACATAAGGCCAGATCGAGTTATGCTACAAAACATGGAAAAGAAGCATAACGAGAGTTTCAGGCAGTACGCACAAAAATGGAGGGACTTGGCTGTGCAAGTTCATCCACCGTTAGATGAAAAGGAAACCCGGAAACTTTTCGTGCAGACTCTGAAGGCTCCATACTTCGGGCACCTGGTGGCGATCACATCAGGAAGCTTTTCAGACTTGGTTATGGCCGGAGAAATGATTGAGTCGGCCATAAAGCAAGGCAAGATTAAGGATGGGGAAGCCAGTAAGAAGCCTCCTATGAGGGAGAGGGATGGAGAGGTTAACAACATCAAACACTCCAGCAAAGGTGTTACAATCTCCAGCCCAAAATCAACTGCGGCTGTACCGTTAGGTACTTCTAAACAAGATTCCAGGAGGGAAAGGGAACATTTCGACCCTATTCCCATGACCTACAAAGAGCTTTACCAGCAACTTCTTGACACCCATGTGGTGTCACCATATCCAGTAGAACCCATGAAACCCCCATACCCCAAGTGGTATGATGAGAATGCATATTGTGAATATCACGGCGGAGTCCCAGGGCACACAATTGAGAACTGTTACGCATTTAAGAGGGTCGTACAAAAGATGCGTAACCAGAACTGGATCGACTTCAACAACTTGGGGGCATCCAAGTGAGGCATATCATCTCATCATTTGAGCCATTCTGTTTGGATTTGTTTTTTCATTCTTTTCTCAAGTTTTTGCAAGGACTTTTAAATAAATTTATGTTGCTTTAATGATGGCGAGCAATAAATCACATTTGCAAACTTGCAATTCTTTGAATATCATTTGAATTAAGAAACTCTGTTAATGGTTCAAAGTTACGGATCTTTGACAAAGTAACATGATTTAAAAAAAAGGACTTTGACCTTATCCAAAATATACCCTCAAACACCATACCCTGCTCTTGTAATTAACCAATATACCCTTTTCCTTTCATAAGGTACGGACAACATGGGGCATCATTTGCATATGACAATTACTATGTTTTTTTATTTAAGATGTTCAATGACGATGATGATCTTTACAAATGAAAGAGTCGAGTAGGTGAATCCAGTTTAGGTCAGTTGCTTGAAAATTGAACTCTAAAGATGAGATTCCTTGACTTTCAAAAACACCTAGGCTATAACAGGTTCTTCTTGACAATCTTAGGAAATTAAATCCGTAAAAACTGAGCTATTCCGCTAAGGCAATTGGTTATAGAGGGAACTTGAAAGCCCTGGCCTTATGAGTAGATTACGTTCAAACCATGACATTGCTCGGACACTTGGCAATTCAGTGTTTGCTCCACTGCTCTTGTCAGGCTGAAGACTCTGTGATGAGATGAACCCTTCAGTTAACTTGATAAGAGTGATTATAATATTAAGTTGTCCCTCTAAAGCAATTGGTCAAACGCCCCGGCTTTATGGATTCAGCTAGCCAGACAATGGTAAATTAAATCGAATTTATCTAAGCATGAAGTTTCGGTAAAATAGACTAAGGGAGTTAAGGAACACCTGTTATAGTTGACTACACACAAGCACTCTAGAATTTCATTTTTAGACCGATATTTTTCGCACTGCCTTTGTTGGAAGAGTCTACAAAGCTTGAACAAATGAAAGATTTCAGAGGACTGAGATAAAAGGTCTAGTAATTGATCATGCTAGCTGCGTCATTTTGTCCGCACCCAATTAAAGTGCCAAAGTATGTTGTGATATTTAAAAAATGACATTTTTTACCAAAAAACCTTAGAAAGGAGGTCAACTTAAAGCCGACTCGTCCCTTTGAACATTTGTCAAAGATTTGTAACTCTGAAAGCATTAAAAGAGCTCTTGATTCCTTTGATATTTTTTGAACTCACATTTACAATTTGATTCAATTGCGAACAATACTTTACATTTCTCTCTCCTGAA